CGTTTTTGTCTGTGTTAGCAATGTGATCGACTTTATACGCAGGCCTTAATAATATGTTTTTTTCTTTGACGGCACTGAATAATTTTAGCCGAAACTTGAGCCGTACATTTGTTGAATGCCGCGCTTTAATTAAATTTCTCGCCCTAGAATGATGACATGATGGCGCGAAAATTGACGCCTCTATCGTATTAGATGCGAAATATGATCAGAGATAAATGGAATAGTGAATGTTACAAGCTTCTGAGTATCCTGCTGAGATAGGGGACTTTTAGTCCCCTATCTCAGCTTGATAAACAAAATTTTTTTGGTTGCTAAGACGGTGCGGCTCGGTTTGAAACGGGAACGAAAGTGGGTTGGTCAAAAGTTCATAAATTTTGCTCGCCACTGAGACTGTAAGTTTTTAGTCATACTAAAGAAAGGTGCGTGAAGATTTCACTGAGCTCTAAGCAACGAAACCTGTGAATGGACGGGAGGTTAAGGAAAGACGTTTTTGAGCAAGGCACGTTAACCCGAAGTGGTTTTCTGCATTCTTGGGCAGTAAATGTCCTCAAATTTTGGGCAAATCGTCTCTATAAGAATTTTAATTCTTAAAAGAAGACACCGAGCAATACAATTTTGGTAGTGTCAAGGCATATTTAAAGGCAAAAGGCCTTACTTCCGGTTGACGTGCGTCGCTCAAAATTGACCACTCCAGAAAATACCATAACATACCATAATGCTCTTTGTTTGTCTCTCCAAAATTTTGCATAAACAATGTTTTCAGTTTCTCTTGAGAGTTAAAATCGCCCCAAGAGAAGCTGAAAACAATGCTTATGCAAAATTTTGGGGTGACAAACAAAGAGCCTTATAGTATGTTATGGTATTAAACTGTAGTGGTCAATTAAAAGACTTCTCCTATTTCTTTCGTTGCACAGGAACCTCTTGTTAGTCTCAAACTCAAGAACTTTGAAAAAGGTCGTTTTTTGTGCGAACAGAAAGACAATTTGCAGAAATACCATTGTTAGAAACTTTGCTCATATTGCCAAACCGAAGCTTAAAAAAAATTTCAGTCACTTAGTTGAAAGCGAGAACGATTGAACTTTAATATACATACATCTCAAAATCGAGAATTATCCAGCCACTTCTGACGCGACGAGAGCAGGTTAGAAAAATAGTAAAATTGGGTCATATTTAAGTTGGAGTCACCTTTAATAAGCTCCCTATCATGTTGAATGTCAAGCACCTATGAACACAAACTGCAAATGAACATTCCTCTGATTCCTGTTCAGCAAAGGCATGCAATAATCGTTCGTTTTGAACTCGCACGATGAATCGTTCACGACGATCGACGTATATTTTCTAGGACGGTAGAAGTCACTTTCACACGTATGTTTAACCGAAAAGCGACCGTTAACAATAGTGATAAACCACACGGAGTCCAGTCTTCAATGATCTTACATAAGCACAAGGAAGTATGTACTCGCATATGTTGTCAGCTTCAAATTCGATTCAAATAATCACGCGAAAATTAAAATGGTTTTGAAACACGATAACCAAAAAGTTACAACAGACATATCTAACCTTTTTTCTTCAAATTCTATACCATGCACAAAACAGAGACCAAGAAAGGTGTTGATAAAGGTGAATGCTGTATAAGGCTTTCAAAGGTCGTAAAAACAGGACGCTATTAACACGCTTCGTATTGAGAACAACTGAATTTCATGAGCACATGGCGAAGTCTACAACGACTTATTAGATGTGTGAGCATAATAACCAGCGAAAAAATTACCCACCTTGCTCAACAGAATCCAAAGAAATTCGATTCAATATAACAGGAGGGAAACTGCTTGAGGCTAATGGAAAGTGAAAGTCAGATATGATACACATGACTGACGCACCCTATTTGCATAATCACGCTATTTAGACAGTCACCCTATTTGTAGTATGGACACAATAGACCAATTCCGATATATTAAAATTCATCCTTGGCTGCGAGACTTGGGGGAATAAAACAAAAGAAGTCATCTTGAGGCTCAGTAATGAATAAGACATTTCTTTTGTTTTATTCCCCCAAACCTCGGAAACAAGTATGAATTTTAATATATCGAAAAATGGTCTATCAAGTGCAATGACTAAAGCGGGGGGAAGGGCTGGGGTGGTAGTAACTGGTTTTAAGTTTCGGAAATGAGATAACTCACAATGTTTACGGTATGATTTATCCCGTTTAATATGCCTCACTTGTAACGAAATTGCTCACAATTCAGTCTCACTGTCGTATTACACAACCACACTACTGGCGATCCCAGTAGAAAATCTCTCTTGCAAAGTAACGAGCACAATTATCTACGTTTGACAGCTATTGTCATAATCTCTTTCTTATGTCAACAGTATAATTGAATGTAGTATTGAAATAAGCTTGAAATCACGCGCACAAGTTATATAATAGAAACAAACAGCACAATTTTCAACACCCTCCACCTGTTTAGCTCCAAAGGAGATAAATATAAACAAACAAAAACTCGCAAAGTTCAGAGTTCGTTCTTATACTACTAGTACTGATAAGTAATAACTGCTATATGTCACTTGTAAGTCGGGTAAAAACTGTTCTCTTAGTCTCAGCGTTCTCTTAAACTTAAGGATCACAGTTCTCGTCTGCTAGATTTCTGATCCGGAGGTTTGCTGCAACGAGAGTATCTCGTGACGGCCTGAACTCGGGTCCTTCTACACGCAAAGGAGTTGGTTTGTCTGCTTTAACTCTTACTCGGTCACAACAGAGCTCCAGAGGGAATAACCGCTATTTCTATTGGGGAAGGAACTCGAGCCCGTTAAGGCTGCAAGAGACCTTGGTGTCACACTGGACTCTAACTTAACATATAATGAGCATATTGTTTCTACTGTATCCTCACGCATGTCACGTTTGGGCCAAATTAACCGCGTTAAGCATATTTTTAATAAACACGCGCTAATTATTATTATAAATGCCTTTATAGTATTTAGTAAATTATTCTATTGCTCTTCTGTTTGGAGCAATACTACTCAAACTAATCTGGACAAGCTCCAAGCAGTACAGAATTTCGCTTGTCGTATTTTGAGCGGCGCTAAAAAATTCGATCACATAACTCCTTTGCTAAAAGACTTGCGCTGGCTACCAATCAGGCAACAACTTTATTTTCGTTTTGCTGTTCTGGTTTTTAAGTGCATGACGAGTTGTGCTCCGGAGTATTTGACATCAAAGCTCGTTGGAAGATCCGCCGTCTCGACAAGGAATACGAGAAATTCTCAACTTTTGAACATACCACTCTTCCGTACTGCCAGCGGCCAAAGGACCTTTCAATATAGAGCAACCTCTCTCTGGAATGAGTTGCAGCCTGCGCTCAAACTTAGCCCATCCGTGACGGAATTCAAGTGTTTACTCAGGCAAAAGCTTCTTAATGACTGCTTTATTTAATTAATTTCATTAATTTTATTGACCTTTGTCTTCTTTTATCATTGTTATATTCTTATTGTCATGTACTTGGTTTATAATTTTGTAATGTAAAATTGACTCTGAAAAGCCCCGTGGGGACGAGCCAATAAAGTATGTATGTATGTATGTACTGCCCGCTCTATACACGAAGTTCCAACGCGTAACTTCGCTGCTCGAACGACACCATCCCGTCCCTTGATAAGATCTGTGACAACGCCAATCCTCCACTTGCCACGGTTCTCGTCTTCTGACTTGATAAGCAAGAGCTCACCAATTTTAGGATGGCGTTCTTCTGAATGCTTTAGCGTGTGTCGCTCTCTGAGTGATTTTACGTACTCCCCTAGCCTGCGTGGTAGGCGTTTGAAAGGGAAGGGAAAGGGAGTTTTAGGCGCGAGAGAAACACAAGGGGCGCGCGAGGAGGGAGGGAAGGAAACTGGTGTTTCCTTCCTTCCCTCCCTCCTCACGTGCCCCGGTCCTCGCGTTTCTCTCGCGCCAAAAACTCCCTTTCCCTTCCCTTTCAAACGCCTACCACGCAGGCTAGTAGTCCCCCGTGCAACGTTTCCAAACAGCCTCCTTGCATCGCTTAAGGTACCCAGCTCGCTTGCGTAAGCTTCTGTCCTCAACATGATGGGGTTCAAGCTCAGGTAACAGATTAGGTTGGCCAAATAACAGCGTGTTTGGAGTTAAGACCGGCAACTACACGTCGTCTTGAATGTAACCCAAGGGCCGGTTGTTCACTGCAACTTCCACATCGAGAACCACCTCTTCTAGCTCAGTCCAAGTCAAGAAACCGTTTCCGATGGTCTTGTATAGACTTCACTTAACAATTCCCTCCATTCGTTCAAATTGTCCGCCCCACAAGGGTGCTCTACTAAGATTGAACCCCGGGGGGGGGGGGCACTTGGGTATTTTTTGGGTGGGTATGTGCCGCCCGGGACTCCAAATTGGCACCCCGTTCTAAAAAAAATTCCCCTAAAATTGATACCCCGTTCTAGAAATGGGCCAATTTTTTATACCGCGTTCTAGAATTCGCCCTAAAACTGAAACCCCGTTCTAGAAATGGGCCAATTTTTTATATTCCGTTCTAGAAAGTTTGTGAATTGAAATAGCCCTGTTTTTTTAAAAAGATATTTCTTTATTTCTTCGACTTATACATCGAATAAATGCTTCTTCATAATCAGCAACAATTTTAAACAGAAGATAAAGCCGTGATCCACAATTTTTTATACCCCGTTCTAGAAAACGCCTCTGAAATGGATACCCCGTTCTAAATCAGGAGCTTCAAAATCACGACCCCGTTGGGCGGTACATACCCGTATAGGTAATGTATGGGAGTAACCCCCGGGATTGAACAGCCATTTGATTCCCTGGCGCGACAGGTAGTCGTTGAGTTTCCCATCAGTCATTGCTGTCTTAAGTCACTTTGCCGCTGCCACGAACGTACGGCCATTGTCGGAATATATTTTCTCGGGTCTGCCTCCACGTGCAATAAACCTCTTCAGGCTTCTTAGAAATTCAGACGTTCCCAGGCTGGACAGCAGCTCTAGGTAAATCCCCCTCGTCAGGCTGCACGCGGATAGCACCAGGTACGCCATTCCTTCTTGTCCTTTCTTCTTACGATACTTCATGGGACCAGCAAAGTAAAGTAAGAACTTTATTATAGTGTCAAAGTCGCTAGCATACAAAGTACACTAATTGGGGACACCTAACTACAATTACTTATCTGATTGTCAATAAAAATAATATAATAATCAACAAAATATGAAATGTATATCCACACGTAAAATCAGTCATTAGTTGTTACATAAAAAACAGTCTTTACAAGTGTTGTCAAGCAGGCTTAACCAGTTTAATACGCTTTTTCAAAATGTCCAAAGATTCAGACGATCGAATAGATATACTGAGTTTGGACCAAATGACAGGGCCTAGGTAGGTCAGGCTGTGTTTACCATAAGCAACAGTCCGAAATCTAGGAATGACAAAATTATGATTTCGAAGATGATACTGAGAATTCGTAACGACAAATAAGTCAATGGCTTGTAGTCGCCGCGTATGAAGTGTTGGTACATTCGCTCTATGCATGAGTTCCTCGTACGTCGATTTGTTGTCACAGTACACAGCGCGTAGTGCTCGTTCTTGAATTAGTTCTAGTTTTCTGGCATCAGAAGAACGACAAAAATGCCAGACAGTCTGACAGTACGTAAGATGGGGTAACACAGCGAATTTAACGATATGCAATTTAGCAGATGTAGGAATGAGGCTACGTAATCGTAAAAGAACGCCAGTTTGAGAGGAGGCTTTTCTACAAACATTGCTTACATGACTCGAAAATGATAGTTGATCGTCTAGGGTAACCCCTAAGAACGTTATCTCTGGTTTTTGATTAATTACAGTGTCGTTAATCACGATGTGTAAATCCTTGTGCCAATTCCTCGGCCCCAGACGCATCACTTGATACTTAGAAAAATTTCCTTGTAAAAGATTGTTATTATACCACTCAGAGATGTTGTTTCCTTCATCAGTTAAAATGTTTTTCGCCACTGAAAACAGTTGGTGGTCATCCGCGTACACGAATAACCTATTTTCATCGGTGGAGAGGTGTAGGTCGTTTTAAAAGACGTTCCAGAGAAGAGGCCCGAAGGCCGATCGCTGGGGACAACCTCTCGTGGTAGCGTACCAATCGCTAGTTGTTTCTCGACTGATCTACTTCTATCACTTGGAATGCGTTTTGGCCTTCTGTACGGTGCCTTGGAAGCTGTCCAGGTGCTGGACTGGTAAATACGGTGAAATGAAACCGCTTACGACCGTTGCAGGACTTGATCACTTTTTTTGCAAGGCGTCGCAGCCTTGGGATCCAATACTGCTCACGAATCTTCGCCATAGTCAGGCCTACTCCCCCATGCAATGTGGTTTTGTGCTCTTCTTCAGCAAGCTTGAGTGCAAATTGGTGCGAGTCTGGTACGTAAATGGGGTACACACCTTGAATCCTCCCTGTACACTCCAACCCACTTTCGTTTTCTTGAAGGTTAAGCTGCAACCGATGTTCTTCGAACCGTTCGTCTCCCTTGAAGTTTTCCTGGACCTTATTTAGCCAAAGGAGTCTCTGCCTGTTAATTTCTTCTGTGGTAAGCAGGCCTTTGTTTCTGTCCGACTTGGCACTTCGTGCATTGTGTATAAACCGTCCCTTCCAAGCGAAAACCCTGAGTGTTCGCCAGAGGGTAGACTTGGCTGGCAAGGTGTCAAGCATGTCTGTTTGACCTTGGGCCACTCCAAGGACTTCCTGGATAACTTTTGCTTCTTCTTGGCTCTCTGGGGTGGTCTTCGTCTCAATGTCTGGTGGCCACTGCTGTCGCTTGGGTAACCACTCAGGTCCATACCAATGTACCTCCTGAAAATCAACATTGAAAGGGAAGGAGGCCAAACATCAGCAAGCGTTTCAAATATCATGACCGGGATTGTAGATGGTGAGCAGTTACGGCTATTGATCCGAAAAAAGCTCTGTTGAAAACAAATTTGCAGGTTTAGCTTTTCAGGGCGCGTTCGATTGACTGCATTCCGGTATAAAAATAAATGGGATAAAATCTTGGAATCACTTAATTTTTGGCACTCATTGCACTGCAGTATCTATAAACCTACTTGAAATAAAAATATTAAGAAGCATGTCGCGTTAAAATCACATAGAAGAGACTTTTTTCTTTTCTTTTTTTTTTAAGTATTCGTTTTCCAGAATAATGTCAATCGACGGCACCCTCAGTAGTAAAAGTGCAAGGATCACAATAAATTGAGGAATCAAGAGATGCTTATCTGTAGCCCCCCCGCAGACGTCAAAGTCCCCCCAAAGGACGCCGTCCTTTGGGGTTCGTTTCGGTCTTTGGGGAGGCTAGCTTATCTGACTTACCAAAAATTCTCAGTTGTACCGAACGAGGTCAAGGATGGAATAGAGATGGTGATGAAATCGCTAGCTCAAAACGTATACATACAATGTAATCCTTGACTGGAACTCTGACCTTCTGTCCAGAATTGTAGGGATGTTTCATTCAAAAGTAAGAACCACAGGCTGATATTTTTATACGTTAAAGTAGTTTGAATATGGATCACTTGAGTATTTGAGTTAATAAATGCAATAATATAATTTATTTTTGTTTTAAAAAAAGACTTACTCTTGTTTCTCCTTTTTCAATTTGAATTCTTCCTCCTTCTTTTTAAAGTAGTCAGCCCTATGATAAGGTAATATTAATCCCTTTAAAATTCACCAATAATCGAAATCACTTTCAAACCTTAACTTAAATAATTGGTCGATGCAAACGAATTGTCAAAGGCCTTGCTCTGTCAGTAGGAAGGTGAGGCAAAAGCGTTTTTAAACCATACACCTCAACCAGAAGTGAGCCCTTGTCGCTTTTAATATCCCTTGACACTACCAGATTTGTATTGCTAAGTGTATTTACTCTTGTAGAGACAATTTGCCCGAAAATTTGGGCAAGCGCATCATTGCCTTAGAATGCAAGAAGTCCACTTCCGGTTGATGTGCATTGTTCACACACGTCCTTGGTTAAACTCACTAGTAACTGAACAGTGGGGTTAGACAGGGGAATAGGAGCTGCGGATAACAGGGGATGGGTGGGAGAGGAAAGAGTGAGAAGTGGGCGTTATAAGAGGGCAGGAAATGAATAAAGGAAATTACACAACAATGCTTAATATTTTGCAATCGAAAGATAGCTCAAGGGAGGAATCCAGTAAAAAGGATGGGTGCAGGGAATGCAGGTTACAAGAGGCAGGAGGTTTGAATCCCCTGTCCACTAACAGACTGTGACAGTTAATGACATTATTATCATAGGGGGATAACTTGTGCACACTGTTAAAAGTCATACAAGTTTTCAAACATTACATGCATTTTTTTTATACAGACCCTTGTTTTCATGATAAACACTCAAAAAAGTTGTAGCTTTTCTATATGTTGTGTGATAAAATGAATGAACCCCAGGTTCCATCAGTTTCAACAAGAACCGCAGTTGAAAGCCAATGTAGCCTGCAAGCAAGCTCTCCATTTGGGGGAGTTGTGAGAATTCATGCGAGAACCACATGCGAAAGGAGACGCAAGTGCATTCTCTCACCAAAATTAGCGAGCTTGTTTACAGGTTAAAGGTAATGAGGAATCATCGCAAGTTTTGTTACTAAGCTGCAAGGTGAAAACTGAATGCAACTCTCAGGCAATATTTTTTCTTGTCAGTTTCAAAGTCAAGTAAAGTGTACTTCAGTTAATACTCCAGTGTGATGGATTTACATGTATTAGTAGCATAGGGGTATCCCAGCCCCTCAAACACCCTACTCCCCCAATCAATAGTATCTGCCAACGACTGAAACTTTACACAAACATACAGTTTACTGTCACGAGAGAAGCCATTTTAGGGACAACTCTTCTTTATTAATGAAGAATACTTACTTCATCATTTTAATGAGCTCCTGTTCATTGTATTTAAGTGCTTCTGTTGCCACAAATGCCTTTGCCTCATCGACAGTGGAGAATTCAACAAACGCAGATCCTTTAAATAAATGGCCTCATTTTGATCAGCACGGCCTTTGAACAGTTAAAAAAAAAGAAACACAGGTAAATCATGGCAAAAAGTAGTGTTTAACGGGCTTCAACACAGGATCCACTGGCTGGTTATAAGCATACTGACAACAATGTACAATTTCATGTACCAAAATTGACGCTAGGACTAAACTGACGGAGGACAAGTCAGGCTAAAGGTTGATTTCCACTGGCGTGTTTTTGGCTTTGCAAGTTATCGCATGTAAATTTTAATCACGTTAATAAAATAGAGGCAAGATAAAAAGTGCTGACCTTAAAAGAGAAGTTGAGCGAGTTTCAACTGTTACGCTTACAAGTGACCTTTTATATATTGCCTCTATTTTATTTCCGAATGTAATGCGACACTTGAAATCAACCCTTATTTAAGAATAAAACATGGGGGGGTTGTACTTTACCTTTCCTTTATCTGAAAAGAATTCTTCCAGTTGATCAATAGTTGTTTCTGCAGGGAAACCTTTCTGCAAGGAAATTACACCAAACTAACAATAAAGATTAAAAAAGAATCAAATGGCTATTCATTAACTACTTTAAATCCTGCTAAGTGAAGGTTACATGTACATGTTGTGTAAACTATGCACTGATGATAGTTTGTACAGCATTTAAAATTTAGACAACCCTCTCTAGATGCCAAAATGAAGGGATTGGGAAAATTACCCCTACTCTTTGATACGTGTAATATATATGCAGTTCAAGAGCCATCATTGGGACAACATTAATTTTAGTGTTGCATTGTATATAAAAGTAGGAAGCAGTGCAGCCCGCTGTATAGAAGTATATGAAGGGGTGCATAGATGATCTTCTAATAAAAGATAAAACACCCCCCCTTGGCATATTTGGCTAGCGTTTTGAAACTGAGAAACAATTTTGCTGTTATATGGTTTTAATGTTACCCCAATTACACTGTATAATTGAACAGCATGCTTTACACAACTTACACAGTAAACTGTTTTGGTTTTGGCATCATGTCTTGCTTCTGCAGTTTCCTCGGGAAGAGGTTTTGCTGTAACTCTTCTTACTTTCTTATTATCTTCACTGACCTAAAAAAATAAAAATAACATTTTACAGTGCTGCTACTTTCTGTACTGTTAATAAATTGACAGAATTGAGGTCTAGCAGTACCTGGTCAGTTTATTTCTACGCAACTAATACTTTTGCTAAACCTTACTTTTTGAAAAAAACTACTTCTGCAACCTCAACTCTCTCACAGCAACCACTTCTCATAAGTGACCAACTCCAATAAGCAACCATGTTGTAAATAACTGCTTTTTTTCTCAGTTAAATACTGTCACTCAAAAACTCTCTCTTATATCATTTTAGTTTGAGCTTAAAAAACAACTGTACATTTTGTTGATTTTTCCTTTCGACAACCACCTCCCATAAGCAACCACTTTGTCATACACCAGGGGTGGCCAGAGATTAACATTATTACTATGTACTAAGTGTTCTAGGTTCAAAGATTTTTTGCTTCTTACAATTTAATATTTCTGGAAGCAAACACAGCCTTTATAAATATACAACAAGTCTTAATTCACATGTACAAATAACACTGATACAGGTACATCTTACTGAAACTAAATTCAAGAGCAACAATGTACCGGTATTTAAACATACATTTGTAACGTACCTCAAGCAGGCCAGCTTCTGATTTTCTGAGAGCTTTGGCTATAGCATCTGTATCTGTTGATAGAGCCTAACAATAACAGTTCTGTCAGTCTCTAGACCAAACGTGGGCAAGCACCATCCACTGGTTTGATCACTATCCAGCATAAAAGCTGGATAGTGAAAAACCATTGCCCCATCCACTAGATATAGAGGATATTACATGGCCGTGCGAAGATACGAAATTTCTCTTCGAGTGTTGAAAAATATTTCTCGAGTGAGGGCAGCGAACGAGTGAAATATTTCTTTCAACACGGGAAGAGAAATTTCGTATCTCCAAGCGACCATGTAATATTCTATTTATTATATAAACACCAATGAAATACCAAACCATTTTACTTAAATAGTTTTTTGGTGTGAAAGGTGCTATTTATTATGTAGCCATAGCAACAGTGATATTTTCATGTGTGAAGATAACATGTTATTTTCACATGTGAAGATATCAAGTTTTCGTGCAAAAGCTCACTTGGTATTTCATTGGTGTTTATATAATAAATAACAATTATTCACCGAAGTGGAGGTGGCTAGTATTGGATACTTACCGAGGCGGAGAAGCAGCGAGGTAAATAACCACTACTAGCCACTGACACTGAGGTGAATAATTGTTTTAGTATATACTAAAACAGTGAGATAATTGAGCACAAAATGATGATTTTTAACTCATTTACTATTGCAAACGATTACAATTTTGGCACGCAATGACCGAACGGCAGTGGTCGTTGCTTTTTCTTGGTGACAAATAAAACTTTTAAAGGCGTTTGTTTAGCTCTTGCGGGGAAGTTTCTTCAAAAGGAGTTCTGAATTCTGTTTGTATTTAAAATAATTCTGTAAAAAAGATTATTAACTTTAGTTTTAAGCTTATTTATGAACAAGTCAACTAAATAAAGAAACGCAAGACTTAAGCTTAATTTGCATTTGTAAACAAAAAACTTTTTCACCGGTTTTATCGATAACTATTTGAGTCAAAAAGACAAAGCTTTACCTGCTAAAACGTCCAAACCGAACTTCGACACCTTCTTCATGTATTTCGGAAATAGCTTGCTTGATTAGTTGTGAAATTTCTTAGTTTGTTACGGCAGCAAACTGGGAAAGCATTTTGCTCACAACCTACGCGAGTTTGGCGTCGCTCCCTTGGAGGAACTGGAGGTGAATCAGTGAATAGTGCAGGATATTCACTGATTGAGTAGCCAATCAGAGTGCCCAAAAAATACTTTCCACTGTTTTAGTATATACTAAAGAGATTTATCCACCTTTTTAACAAGTGGGCTAGCTAGTTGTTTATATCTGCTTTCACTCTGAAGAACTCCTCTCCTATCACCATTGTCAGTACCAACCCATGTACTTAAATGTCCAACTCCAGTCAAAATACCCCTTACATACACCAACATTTCCCGCATACACTGTAAATGCCTTCTGGTATCTTCTTGTTACAGAAAGAATGGGGCAAGATAAAGCAAATATGAGCCTGTTACCTTAAGTCTGTTGAAAGTTGTTAGGCACTCCAGTGTTACCCCTGTGATTTATAGCAAGTCTTGTCAAGAAAACTAAAGATTACAGTGAGAATAAATAATACTGTAATTGTATTTTGTATACTATTCTTCTTGAGATATTTGAGAGAGAGTGAGTACATTTTATGTCCTTTTTTATTTTGCTAGCTCACTAAGATACCTGCATAGACTGTGTTCTCCCTAAAGTTTAGATCAGCAGGAAAGGGACCATTCATGGCCGGTAAGGCAAAAATATACACCAAAGGTGCACTTTCCTGGTTGGGGGGGAGGCGGGACATGGCCCGCCCTCGCTTGGAAATTCAGGAGCTAAGTTCTCTGAAATGTCATTCCCTCATTTTAACACCTACTTTACGCAAATCGGCCATTGTTATCTTTAGACAACAATTAAAAACCTTTGATTCCAATAATTTTACTCTGTCTTCAATGTTCTCTTTCCAAAATGTGTGGCCCATAAAAACAAAAGCCGTGTATACTTCGGTACTTTTCCATATATTCTTTCATTTCCTTGTGAAAATAGGATCAGATCACAATTTAATTTTAGTAAACCTTCAAGCAGTTGCAGGCGGTAAGAAGTGTTGCTTTAGGGGGTAAATTTTACCAGTTACCACCTGATAAAGAGAACACTGTCTGTACAAGCAAAACGGCGTGAAAGGAGATGGGATATAAAAAAGGACATATGGAAAAACTGACAGTTCATTGAGTGATAAATTCTCCTTGTGTCATAAGCAATCATGAGAAAAATGAAAGTAGAATGTTAATTAAGTCTATCAGTTGAGTGAGTGTTGTGCTGCAGAGCTTAAAACCTGTATATTCTCTTGTTAGTTGAAAAGTGATTTTAAGGACATGGGTACATGAAAGGATACATCCTTCATCTTCATCAACCTTCTGTCGGAGAAATTTGTCCCTGGGTAGATTCTTATCACCAAAATAAAACTGCAACAATAATTTCACATGCATGATAACACAAGATTACATATAAAACTCATCTATCAAGGATGTGATAAATTTGAACAAATTAAGCTCGAGTCTCTACACCAATATAGAGCAAAGATGAAGATTTCAGGTACAGCCCTACCCTGAACAGGGATGGTGGTGGTTTCCAGTTATCACTTATTTGAGGAAATTTAAGCATCTGATAACATGTTAGGCTGGGGTCCAACACTCCAAACCAAAGCTATAGTTTGGTATTACTTTCAAACAGTTGTCAACGTTACACAGTGATCATGCAGGGTTCTAGCAGTGGCAGGAAGCTTTGGCTTAGCTCTACACTGGGCTGAAGATTCAAGTTTATTCAAGTATCTTCAGATTTGTTAAAGGAGCTGTGTCACCAAATTCAAACAAATTAGGTAATTACAAAATGCCCGTTAGATTAAGAGAAACATAAAAATAACCGCTTCAAACATTAAAGGAAGGTTAAATAACATAACAGATGCCACGGATGGGCAAAACTGAAGAAGATTGAAATGGACCGAAATTAGGGTTTTTGAAAACTGTTCAGCCTAACAGTTTTTCAAAGTTGATCTCTGCTTTTTGCAACTTCAAATATAATGAGACATATCTGTTTGTCTCGAATCTCTGATTTTGTCATTTACATGCAATTTCTTTTCTTACATTAAGTTCCATAGCGATTCCATGTGCAGGCGAGCAATTGGCAAAATTAAACAAAATGAACTGGACTGCCGTGACACAGTCCCTTTAAAGACAGGTAGGTATTTTTAGACTATTAATAATGGCACAGTGTTAAATCACCAGGTCAATGGGACATTCCATTTTTTATCTGCCTCCCCCTAAGGATGATGGTTTTTTTGAACAGGGGGGTTCGGATTTTTCCTTCAAAGAAGCCCACAAAATTTCAACCCTTTAGACAAATTTTTCAAAGGTGCTGACAAAAAAAGAACCCGGGTTCAGATTCCCGTCATCTTTAGGGGGGTGCAGATAAAAAATGGAACCTCCCAACCCATGACCAGACAGCGGCGAACAACATGGCAGAATGTTCAAAGAAAACAACCTCTTTATTGATTTACTAGCTAGGGTGACTGAAGAGTTCTACTGTGGTTCTAACCGAGAATCATGAGCTAACTCGCTTAATGAATGCAGCCTTAAACTGGCTACACTGCACTCATTGTTATAATTTAAGATGGATGTAAGGCAGACTTGCACAAGTGTCCTATTCGGTCGTGAGTCAGTTTGACCATGGGTGACTGTAAGTCCTTGATTTTAACAAAGTTCTTAAAATTTATATGCGATACATGTACATGTACAATAGGCCCCACAAATAGTCAAAACGTAGCAACTCTACAGAGTTATTCTAATTCTTATTCTATTTTCTGCATAAGCGGTTAACACATAAAGGCAAAATGCTGACATTCAAAGCTGAAACTAAGGCTCTTGGCAAGGATTGGGTAGTTGTGCTTACGAGTACAAAAATAGCGTCCTTTTCACTTATGGTAGAATTCCTTTTAGCCTTAAAATGCTTCTCAGGTGAGTAACCATTCGCTGGGATTCTTGGCAGAAAAACAAATTAATAACAACAAAAATAACCTTCAGCTTACCTCGATTTGTTTGATAATTTTCCTTTCAAGGTCGGAAGGAACTTCCGTGTGCCCATTTGTGCCTTCGTTTGCAGCCATTTTGCGATGAAATCTTTGTCTTTTCAAATGAAACTATGTACCTTAGTTTGCTTAAGTTTGAGTGAGTCCAATAAGAAGGTTGTATCAGGTAATATCGGGTAAAACTGAGTAAAAAAGGTAAAAACTCTTTCTGGATTCTGCACGTGGGTTAACAGGCTTTCGGATTTCACCACATTTTCATCAGCTATGAAGTTAACAACCGCTGACAGCATTAGCTTTAGTCACGCCAATGATATCTTACGTGACATTCATACAGTGCGTGACCAAGGTGTCAATCTGTTCAAGTCGTTCAAGCCAGGAGCCGATAAACGTTTAGTTGAAGCAGGTATGAAAAAAAAGCTAAAATACTAATCTATTAAACCACGTCTAACTAAACAGTGTTTTAACGTGTTCAAGCTTCGGTGCGTGACAACCTTTGTGTCTGGCTTTATACAGCCAGTCTCATTGCATGAAGAGTAAAACTGAGTCTTTTTACCCTCTTAGAGCAAAGCGCCCCCAAGTAGTCACAAGTTTTTGGTATGAAAATAACAGTGAAAACAAAACAGCCAGGGGCGCGCAAATGAGAGGAGAATGGGATGGTAATGACGACCGTTGGCGCGCGCTTCGCGTAAGTTTTCGCAGCTTCTTTTCCTTCTCGACAAAACGCCAGGTACACAGTCAGGCCAGTTATGATACTCACCTAAAATGCTCTTACCACTCTGAATTATCTTTGCTTTACAGCTGGTTACACCTTAACTGATCTTGTCTTCCATTGCTAGCGCTGAAGATCCTACACTGTTCAGATTGACCACGAGTGTTTTGAGCCGAAAAAATTCATCTATAAATAGCCTGCACCAAAGCCTTATAACTATTAAAACACATGAAAGATGCATTTTTTGCATTGATAGGCTCTTATCGTCGGATCGCGGAGACTCAGAGGCAGCTAATGAGTACGGAGCATCCGGAGCGATAACATCGCAGACAAAGTTTTTAAATAGAACAGTAGAACCCCCTAGGCACTTAACCTCACCGAAAAAATCATTCGGACAAAGTCGTTTTGCAACAGGTGGTTTCAGGGCATCATGAAGATGATTCGCATCAAAGCATTTTTCGTTTCACTGCATCTCAAAATATACTCTCCTTGTAATAAAAGTTGAGTCACTTCAAAGACATATTTTCAGAGTTAACTCAGTCCATTCTACCTGCTGCTCGTGAGGCTATCCTTTAATAATAATGAATCCAAGTTAACATCCATGGAAACAAGCCTTCAAAGGAGGTTAAACTGGTGTTGGGACCCTCCCAAAGATAATAGTAAAACTAGTGACCTTCCCCCTCCCACCCCAAACAATGTTGAATTATAAACAGAATCGGTGGAAATGAGTCCGTTTGCGTTTGGGGTCACAACATTGGCGGGGGAGTTAGAGGTGGTGTGATGAACCCAAAGTCGAACCAGACATTGTGACTGCGTGTAGGAACAGAGTCCTATGTAACAATTACTTGGGAGGATTTTTCCAACGTCTCCCGAGTTCCTTTGACCTTCACTGTTGAGAACGAGGTTGCTCCATTGCACACGTACTCGGACTTGAGAAAACGTGAGAAGTTAGGAATCTTGTCAGTAGTGACTGTGAGTAGCCTTTAAATGTTAATCAAGGCTGTAGTGACCTATAGGACCCTACAGTGATCAATCTCTCCAAATATTGTATTGTCATTTAACGTATTTTTAGATAAAAGTGTGTCCGATTAGTGGGCATTTTTAAGCATGCTATAGAAGTTTTCGACACTTGAATAAAGTTTATTTGTCTATTTATGTATGTTGCACACTGATCTCATGAAGGCAACAAAAGCAACGGATTTCAAGAACCACCAAGTTTAATGCAAGTCATGGCTAATACTAAGATTATATTTATCCATTATGTATTTATAACAACATGGCTAAAATCAATACCACAATTATGAACTAAAGCACACACTACCAACTACGCGGTATAGCCAGTACCTTACGCACGCGCACAACCATATCACCCCGGCAGTGGCAGCAATGGACAGCTGTTTCATCCTTGTTAGGACTCATCAGCATAGCATAGCAAGCACGGTCTCACTTACGATCCCGAATGTAACGAATTTGAAAACTTTTAACCCTTTAAACCCCAAGAGTGATCAGCATCAAATTTCTCCTTGTAGTATCAAGGCTTTGTAAAACAGAGTGGTCATGAGAATTACGAACATGATCACACAAGATGAATTTGCTTGATATTTTATCAACTTCTCCCCACTACTTCTGTAGGAAATGAATAGGGGCAACAAATGAGAATTCCAATTTTGATCTTAGGGTTTAAAAGGTTAAGTTGCAATTGTACTGAAAAGTTCATTGAATGGGGAAATCATTAAAAAATTACTTGTTATTGTGCTCAACAGCCCGCGGCCACATTAGTACAAGAAAAAAATTAGTCTTATTTTAGGGAACAGATTTGATATTTCCACCGTCCATAAACAAACAAAATGTTGACAAGTTCAATTCCGCCTTAATTATGCCCAGACGGTTCCTGGCCCTACTGCCAAACCGTACTACGAGCGTGTCAGACTCACCGGGCGCGCTTCGCTCCTTAAAAACGACTGCTTTGAAATAAAACTATGAACAAATCGGAAACTAAGTTCGAGAACGCATGCCTTAAAATTTTAAATAAAATAGACCATAATTATGGGCTGTCTATCATGTAATGAAAGTACATGAAAATCTAAGAGGAACCCCTCCTTTAACAAAGATGAAGTCCACATGAAATTACAAAATCTGAATCATGGTGATTAATATCCTGGGTACCAGAGGTCTTTTTCGCGTGCGGCGGGAATTTTCGGTGTTGGCCGAAAGACACATCTTTGGCCGTCAGCCGAAGCCAAGAGCGGCGGAGCAGAAACCGGAAACCGCGCTAGAAAAGTCCCTGGCACCCAGGGTGGGTGACTTACCACACGTCCAATCTTTGCGCGCCCGGCTAGGACTGACATAGCAAATACATACTCTCGTTTCCGATCATTACTGTATCCTACACAAAAAACGGGCGGCTTGACCCATATTTGATTATATTTGCCCTGACAACGGTCTTGGCTGCCTTTCACACCCGAATGGAAGTTTTTCGTTAAACTCTTTTGTGACAAACGACAAACCCCGCCGACTGCTGACGATGGCCGTCTTTATCAGCTGTTTGTCCCCTAAAAGACACATAACATTGATTTAACTGATTTCATCCGATCAATTTTGACGTGACATGCAATTTTAATTACATTCCTTGAAGTGAGGCGGGGGGTCTTGATAGTTAAGCTATTCCTTATATTTACAAGGCTTGTTATAACCTCGTTCCCAGGGTTAGACTGCAAAACAGTCGGTTTTTTCTCAAAATCAGTAAAGAAATCGGTAAAGCGTGACGTAAGAGTCTTAAGCGCGCGAAGCGCGCGAGCCTCACACGCCCGTAGGGCGTGTGAGGCGAGAGAAAAAAACCATTTTCAGCGTCTCTCCCCAGTCTCGCTCTCTGTTTTCAGCCTCATTCCAGACCTTTTGTTTGACTCCTCGCGCGTACTTGAATACGCAAAAATACGGAATGTTTTGCAGTCTATCCCAGGGTCTTTCCTATTCGTCCCATGAAGATGTCTGTCCCTCAAGAGGTTGGGCTTGTCGACCCGACAAAAGTAGGGAAAATGTCCTCAAATGTAAGACAACTCACAGGACAACAAAACACCGTGTTTTCTCGCGACGATCTTTACACCGACCGACTATACGGTAGTTGTTCAAAAAAGCCAATTTGTTACGAATTTTTTCCACGTGCAAATCATTTTCAACTAAAATCTTCTCGTAAATCCTCAATGCTTTTTCGAGAAGTTCTTTGGCTTGATTGTATTCTCCAAGGCTAACGTACACTGATGCCAAGTTGCTATAACTTGTGCTACCGAGGCATGATCTTCACCAAAAATCTTTTTCCAAATCACAAGTGCTTTTTCGTGAAGTTCTTTGGCTTAATTGTATTCTCCTAGGCTGTCGTACACTGATGCCAAGTTGTTATAACTTGTTGCTACCGAGGCATGATCTTCACCAAAAATCTTTTTCCAAATCACAAGTGCTTTTTCGTGAAGCTCTTTGGCTTGATTGTATTCTCCTAGGCTGTCGTACACTGATGCCAAGTTGTTATAACTTGTTGCTACATCGGCATGATCTTCACCAAAAATCTTTTTGCGAATCAAAAGCGCTTTTTCGCCAAGTTCTTTGGCTTGATTGTATTCTCCCAAGCTGTTGTACACTGATGCCAAGTTGTCATAACTTGTTGCTACCCAAGCATGATCTTCACCAAAAATCTTTTTGCAAATCACAAGTGCTCTCTCGTGAAGTTCTTTGGCTTGATTGTATTCTCCTAGGCTGCTGTACACTGATGCCAAGTTGTTATAACTTGTTGCTACATCGGCATGATCTTCACCAAAAATCTTTTTGCGAATCACAAGCGCTTTTTCGCGAAGTTCTTTGGCTTGATTGTATTCTCCTAGGCTGTTGTACACTGATGCCAAGTTGTTATAACTTGTTGCTACCGAGGCATGATCTTCACCAAAAATCTTTTTGTCAATCACAAGTGTTTTTTGTGAAGTTCTTTGGCTTGATTGTATTCTCCCAGTCTGTGGTACACTGATGCCAAGTTGTTATAACCTGTTGTTACATCGGCATGATCTTCACCAAAAATCTTTTTGCGAATCACAAGCGCTTTTTCGTGAAGTTCTTTGGCTTGATTGTATTTTCCCAGGCTGTTGTACACTGATGCCAAGTTGTCATAACTTGTTGCTACATCGGCATGATCTTCACCAAAAATCTTTTTGCCAATCACAAGTGCTTTTTCGTAAAGTTCTTTGGCTTGATTGTATTCTCCTAGGCTGCCGTACAGTGATGCCAAGTTGTTATAACTTGTTGCTACATCGGCATGATCTTCACCAAAAATCTTTTTGCCAATCACAAGTGCTTTTTCGTAAAGTTCTTTGGCTTGATTGTATTCTCCCAGGCTGTGGTACACTGATGCCAAGTTGTCATAACTTGTTGCTACATCGGCATGATCTTCACCAAAAATCTTTTTCCAATCACAAGTGCTTTTTCGTGAAGTTCTTTGGCTCGATTGTATTCTCCCAGGCTGTGGTACACTAATGCCAAGTTGTTATAACTTGTTGCTACCGAGGCATGATCTTCACCAAAAATCTTTTTGCAAATCACAAGTGCTTTTTCGTGAAGTTCTTTGGCTTGATTGTATCCTCCCAGGCTGTGGTACACTAATGCCAAGTTGTTATAACTTGTTGCTACCGAGGCATGATCTTCACCAAAAATCTTTTTGCGAATCACAAGTGCTTTTTCGTGAAGTCCTTTGGCTTGATTGTATTCTCCCAGGCTGTCGTACACTGATGCCAAGTTGTTATAAATTGTTGCTACCCACGCATGATCTTCACCAAAAATCTTTTTCCGAATCAGAAGTGCTTTTTCGTGAAGTTCTTTGGCTTGATTGTATTCTCCCAGGCTGTGGTACTCTAATGCCAAGTTGTTATAACTTGTTGCTACCGAGGCATGATCTTCACCAAAAATCTTTTTGCGAATCACAAGTGCTTTTTCATGAAGTTCTTTGGCTTGATTGTATTCTCCCAGGCTGTGGTACACTAATGCCAAGTTGTTATAACTTGTTGCTACCGAGGCATGATCTTCACCAAAAATCTTTTTGCGAATCACAAGTGCTTTTTCGTGAAGTTCTTTGGCTTGATTGTATTCTCCCAGGCTGTCGTACACTGATGCCAAGTTGTTATAACTTTTTGCTACCCACGCATGATCTTCACCAAAAATCTTTTTGCGAATCACAAGTGCTTTTTCGTGAAGTTCTTTGGCTTGATTGTATTCTCCCAGGCTGTGGTACACTAATGCCAAGTTGTTATAACTTGTTGCTACCGAGGCATGATCTTCACCAAAAATCTTTTTGCGAATCACAAGTGCTTTTTCGTGAAGTTCTTTGGCTTGATTGTATTCTCCCAGGCTGTCGTACACTGATGCCAAGTTGTTATAACTTTTTGCTACCCACGCATGATCTTCACCAAAAATCTTTTTGCGAATCACAAGTGCTTTTTCGTGAAGTTCTTTGGCTTGATTGTATTCTCCTAGGCTGTGGTACACTGATGCCAAGTTGTTATAACTTGTTGCTACCGAGGCATGATCTTCACCAAACATCTTTTTGCGAATTACAAGTGCTTTTTCGTGAAGTTCTTTGGCTTGATTGTATTCTCCCAGGCTGTCGTACACTGATGCCAAGTTGTTATAACTTGTTGCTACCCAGGCATGATCTTCACCAAAAATCTTTTTGCGAATCACAAGCGCTTTTTCGCGAAGTTCTTTGGCTTGATTGTATTCTCCCAGGCTGTTGTACACTGATGCCAAGTTGTCATAACTTGTTGCTACATTGGCATGATGTTCACCAAAAATCTTTTTCCAAATCACAAGTGCTTTTTCGTGAAGTTCTTTGGCTTGATTGTATTGTCCTAGGCTGTTGTACACTGATGCCAAGTAGTTATAACTTGTTCCTACCGAGGGATGATCTTCACCAAAAATCTTTTTGCGAATCACAAGTGCTTTTTCGTGAAGTTCTTTGGCTTGATTGTATTCTCCCAGGCTGTTGTACACTGATGCCAAGTTGTCATAACTTGTTGCTACATCGGCATGATCTTCACCAAAAATCTTTTTCCAAATCACAAGTGCTTTTTCGTGAAGTTCTTTGGCTTGATTGTATTCTCCCAGGGTTTTGTACGCTGATGCCAAGTTGTTATAACTTGTTGCTACCGAGACATGATCTTCACCAAAAATCTTTTTGTCAATCACAAGTGTTTTTTCGTGAAGTTCTTTGGCTTGATTGTATTTTCCCAGGCTGTCGTACACTGATGCCAAGTTGTTATAACTTGTTGCTACCGAGGCATGATCTTCACCAAAAATCTTTTTGCGAATCACAAGTGCTTTTTCGTGAAGTTCTTTGGCTTGATTGTATTTTCCCAGGCTGTCGTACACTGATGCCAAGTTGTTATAACTTGTTGCTACCGAGGCATGATCTTCACCAAAAATCTTTTTGCGAATCACAAGTGCTTTTTCGTGAAGTTGTTTGCCTTGATTGTATTCTCCCAGGCTGTTGTACACTGATGCCAAGCTGTCATAACGTTTTGCTACATTGGCATGATCTTCACCAAAAATCTTTTTCCAAATCACAAGTGCTTTTTCGTGAAGTTCTTTGGCTTGATTGTATTCTCCCAGGCTGTTGTACACTGATGCCAAGTTGTTATAACTTGTTGCTACCGAGGCATGATCTTCACCAAAAATCTTTTTGCGAATCACAAGTGCTTTTTCGTGAAGTTCTTTGGCTTGAATGTATTCTCCCAGGCTGTTGTACACTGATGCCAAGTTGTCATAACTTGTGGCTACATCGGCATGACCTTCACCAAAAATCTTTTTGCAAATCACAAGTGCTCTTTCGTAAAGTTCTTTGGCTTGATTGTATTCTCCTAGGCTGCCGTACACTGATGCCAAGTTGTTATAACTTGTTGCTACATCGGCATGATCTTCACCAAAAATCTTTTTGCCAATCACAAGTGCTTTTTCGTAAAGTTCTTTGGCTTGATTGTATTCTCCCAGGCTGTGGTACACTGATGCCAAGTTGTCATAACTTGTTGCTACATCGGCATGCTCTTCACCAAAAACATTTTTGCGAATCACAAGTGCTTTTTCGTGAAGTTCTTTGGCTTGATTGTATTCTCCCAGCCTGTTGTACACTAATGCCAAGTTGTTATAACTTGTTGCTACCGAGCCATCATCTTCACCAAAAATCTTTTTGCGAATCACAAGCGCTTTTTCGTGAAGTTCTTTGGCTTGATGGTATTCTCCCAGGCTGTTGTACACTGATGCCAAGTTGTTATAACTTGTTGCTACATCGGCATGATCTTCACCAAAAATCTTTTTGCCAATCACAAGTGCTTTTTCGTGAAGTTCTTTTGCTTGATTGTATTCTCCCATGCTGTCGTACACTGATGCCAAGTTGTTATAACTTGTTGCTACCCAGGCATGATCTTCACCAAAAATCTTTTTGCGAATCAGAAGTGCTTTTTCGTGAAGTTCTTTGGCTCGATTGTATTCTCCCAGGCTGTGGTACACTAATGCCAAGTTGTTATAAGTTGTTGCTACCGAGGCATGATCTTCACCAAAAATCTTTTTGCGAATGACAAGTGCTTTTTCGTGAAGTTCTTTGGCTTGATTGTATTTTCCCAGTCTGTGGTACACTAATGCCAAGTTGTTATAACTTGTTGCTACCGAGGCATGATCTTCACCAAAAATCTTTTTGCGAATCACAAGTGCTTTTTCGTGAAGTTCTTTGGCTTGATTGTATTCTCCCAGGCTGTCGTACACTGATGCCAAGTTGTTATAACTTGTTGCTACCCAGGCATGATCTTCACCAAAAATGTTTTTGCGAATCACAAGCGCTTTTTCGCGAAGTTCTTTGGCTTGATTGTATTCTCCCAGGCTGTTGTACACTGATGCCAAGTTGTTATAACTTGTTGCTACATTGGCATGATCTTCACCAAAAATCTTTTTGCCAATCACAAGTGCTTTTTCGTGAAGTTCTTTGGCTTGATTGTATTCTCCCAGGCTGTTGTACACTGATGCCAAGTTGTTATAACTTGTTGCTACCGAGGCATGATCTTCACCAAAAATCTTTTTGCGAATCACAAGTGCTTTTTCGTGAAGTTCTTTGGCTTGATTGTATTCTCCCAGGCTGTTGTACACTGATGCCAAGTTGTCATAACTTGTTGCTACATCGGCATGATTTTCACCAAAAATCTTTTTCCAAATCACAAGTGCTTTTTCGTGAAGTTCTTTAGCTTGATTGTATTCTCCCAGGCTGTTGTACGCTGATGCCAAGTTGTTATAACTTGTTGCTACCGAGGCATGATCTTCACCAAAAATCTTTTTGCGAATCACAAGCGCTTTTTCGTGAAGTTCTTTGGCTTGATTGTATTCTCCCAGTCTTTTGTACACTGATGCCAAGTTGTTATAACTTGTTGCTACCGAAGCATGATCTTCACCAAAAATCTTTTTGTCAATCACAAGTGCTTTTTCGTGAAGTTCTTTGGCTTGATTGTATTCTCCTAGGCTGTTGTACACTGATGCCAAGTTGTTATAACTTGTTGTTACATTGGCATGATCTTCACCAAAAATCTTTTTGCGAATCACAAGTGCTTTTTCGTGAAGTTCTTTGGCTTGATTGTATTCTCCCAGGCTGTTGTACACTGATGCCAAGTTGTCATAACTTGTTGCTACCCAAGCATGATCTTCACCAAAAATCTTTTTGCAAATCACAAGTGCTCTTTCGTAAAGTTCTTTGGCTTGATTGTATTCTCCTAGGCTGCCGTACACTGATGCCAAGTTGTTATAACTTGTTGCTACCGAGGCATCATCTTCACCAAAAATCTTTTTGTGAATCACAAGCGCTTTTTCGTGAAGTTCTTTGGCTTGATGGTATTCTCCCAGGCTGTTGTACACTGATGCCAAGTTGTTATAACTTGTTGCTACCGAGGCATGATCTTCACCAAAAATCTTTTTGCGAATCACAAGTGCTTTTTCGTGAAGTTCTTTGGCTTGATGGTATTCTCCCAGGCTGTCGTACACTGATGCCAAGTTGTTATAACTTGTTGCTACATCGGCATGGTCTTCACCAAAAATCTTTTTGCCAATCACAAGTGCTTTTTCGTGAAGTTCTTTTGCTTGATTGTGTTTTCCCAGCGTCAGGTATACTAAACCACTTATGTTGAAAATTCTCGCTTTTCGAGTTAATGTACGTAAATTAGTTTCGTCTATGCCCTCCAACAGGTTGGATGCTAATCTGACCACATTTGTCGCGAAGAAGAAAGAAGAATTGTCAAGACAGACACGGGCAATTGTACTCAGCCAATCGATAACAATATCCAAATCTAGAAAGGGTGTAAGCCGTTCTTTGAAGGTGCATTGATCCAAAGTGAACTCTGACGTCATGTGATTAAGTAAAGATTCACAATGGGGCCTCAGTTTTCTACAAAACGCAAAATTTTCGTCATTTCCTTCAAGTTGAGACTTGAAAATCTTAACCGCTTCTGCCAAATACTTGTCATTCTCCCATGATTTTAAGTCTAACATTTTGGCTTGCTTCAAAGCTTCATGCACAATTTTATGCAAGCGCAAATAAGTTAGTGGTTTATTTCCTTCTTCGGAATAAACAAGAAGTAAAGAAGACTTTACAATCTTTGCCTTTATTAACGCCTCTGGCTGGTCTTTTACTTGGGCTTTGACGAACTTTGAAACAGTTTCGAGGGGGAGATCGTCGCTAGCGCAAAGAGAAAGAAAAGAAAATGTCTCACGAAGAACCTCGTCAACGTCAGCAGCTCTCTTGATGGCCATTTCTACAGCGGCCATTGTTGTTTTAGAATATGCTGAACTCTCAGTCGCAAGGACACTTTCAATCTCATTTCTTTGGCCGTATGTTGATACGTCGTCGAGGTACGCTTTCCAATCATAATTTAAAGACCCACTGTTTACAACAGTTTGCACGTAATAAGCAGCGGCAGCTAAGGCCAGTGGCTGAAAATCGACAAGTTCTGCGACAAGTTCTTCTTGTCCTCGCTCTGAAATTTGCGTTAGTGTTTCCAGCAGTTTCACCGCCTCATCTAACTTCATTCCTTTACTTAAAGATTCATGATACGTATGAGGAGCGTTTTGAGGAATTATTCCACTATCTTGAGTGGTAATCAAGACTTGACCATGGCCCCATTCCACGCTGCCTGTTTGAGGCAGCAATTCACGGACTAAACGCAAGTCAATTACATTGTCCACAATAATAAGCCATTTGGTAAACTTGCTGGCTTTCGGTATGATGAACCGATGGAGCTGCTGAATCGCTTCAAGAGGCTTTTCACTTTTTAAAGATTCTAACTCTTTCAAGGCGTAATCAGTCATCTGTAAGTGTTTGGCAAGGGTAAGGTAAGAGTCAGCAAGTGTTTCAACGCTTTCAGTGTTCAGTGTCGCAACAAAGATCAATTCTTTAACGTCATCGTTTCGTTCAGAATAAAACTGCTGTCCGATTTCCCGAGCAAGTTGACTCTTACCACATCCTGGTATTCCTGACAAATACACAGTACTAACTGCTCCGTTAGCACCATTGTAAAGTTCCTCCATTTTGTTTGTAACTCTTTCAATGTCATGCGAACGCTTGATGATATCGTGTGGGGGACGCGATGTGAGAAAGCAAAATGGCTGAAGTTTCGCATTTATTTCCTGAGTGAGAGCCCTGTTTTCTTCTTTTGTAGAAACCAGATCAGCTTCTGTACACTGAAGTCTGCTTTCCTTTTCCTTCAAGTCACATTTTGTCTGTTTTAACTCAGCCTGGAGATCACGGGCTTGCTTCTTAAGTTTTTCCACTTCTGTCGTTGGAAAGCTCGTCTGGTTCTTTATTTCTTGGACTTCAGTAATGGTAAGACCAAGGGATGTAAAAGCGTTCAACACTCTATCTACAGAAGTTTGAAAATCAGCATCTGCCAGTTTTCCCTCAGTGATATGGGCGATCCCGTTTCGCACTTGACGAATATCATCGACCTCTTTCTGGACAGCTCGACTTAAGGTGGTACCAATACTGTCTGAGTACAGGATGGCAAAAAACAAACAGGTGCAGTCCCACTGGGCCGTGTTACCATTTTGTATTGTCGCAAGCAGTCGGCCATTTCTCCTGTGACTTGATCTCGATTCTTTGTTGTAGAAATCAAGACCATTTTGTGCCGTGTCTTTCCATTCTCCGAGTGTCGTCTTGTAAAGAAAGTCCCACTCGTTTTTGAAAATTTGCCGCAGGCCTTCTGGAACCAAATCAAATACTACACAACAGAGTCTGAAGAAGTTCAGTTGCTCCTGCGAGTATTCCATCACCAGCTCTTGATCCTGCAATCGATTCGCTCATTTAATAAACTAACGAATTCCTTTCATAAGTGACGTTAGATAAGTATGAATAAATATTTTTTTGAAAAAGAAATGATCGTCGCAGTTAACGAAATTTATGCAACTGCGTAAAGAAGCCTGAAACAAATCAGGACTTCAACGGGGTTTGAAACCGTGACCGTGACCGTGACCAATTGTGGGTTCATATATGATTTATTTCATATATCATTAACAATCATTTCTTTCACGGGAACATATGAACCCACAATTGACCTTCTCCCAACGTCAGTGGCTTCATAGCTCAGTTGGTAGAGCATCGCACCGGTATCGCGAGTACACGGGTTCAAACCCCGTTGAAGTCCTGAATTTTTTTTTTTCAGGCTTCTTACGCAATTGCATAAATTGCGTTCACTGCGACGATCATTGCTTTTTCAATTCATTTCCGCAGTTCATATATGATTTATTTCATATATCATTAACAAATATTTTTTTATCAACCGTTTCGGTATAAAGCTTTTTAATTTACGCTAGTCGCTTGGGCATACCGTACGTGGGCGTCAAACGTTACTTCAAACGTTACTTCATTACTAGTCTATTCCAGGCTTTAAGATAGTGGCGCAGTCGTACAGTAAAAAGTGATGCGAAATACGCGCGGGGGCCACAGCCCCCTCCAGATCGCGCGATTCCTATTTTCGCTTGGCTTATTTTATTTTTTCGGCGGCTCTACTTTCTGAGAGCCTGGCATAGGCTACTTCATAACAAGAGATACGACTCATGACCACCAACGTGCTTCTAAAATTTGCTAAGTAATGAACTCTATTCAATGTTTTCAGATTTAAAACCACGTGGTCTACATTTTGAAAGGCTTCGACTAGCGCTTGGTTTGACTGTCAAACAGAGAAAGCAGATTTTGCAGAAGAGAAGGATAAAAAGCACTCGAAGGAGATATACCAAAGTGCGGTCTTTCTGATGCAAGCACGCACGTAGGGGGTATTTTCGACTCCAGAACTCTCGAATGTGCGAGGCCAAAAAAATTCCATGGCTCCGTAGAGGAGAATAGTGAGGAAGAGGTGTGACGGGTGCGCACTCACCTCCTTCCCACTGACTATTTTCGAATCCCACATAATGCACTCTGTTTGCCCCGCAAATTTTGCATAAGGTATTGTGTTGATATCCTTTTGGGAATATACAGTCCTCCCAAGAGGATTTGAAAACAAAAGTCTATGCAAAATTGGGGGGGTAGGGGGCAAGCAGAGTGCAATATACATATGATAGACATAAGAAGATAACGGATCATAACTAACAGAGAGCAAAACGGGAAGGAAAGTGGGTTATTCAAAACTTCATTAATTTTCTTTGCCAATGAGACTGTAGCTTTTTAGTCATAAAAAGGTGCGCGGAGATTTCACTTAGCACTAAGCAACGAAATCTAGAAGCGCGTAGTGCGGCTTTATAATTATAGCAAACGCTCACTATCTCGCAAATACCACCCCATTATTTAGTCAAATTAAAGCCCTGAATACCATAATAACCTTTTGCCTAGTAGCTGTCGTATCCCCTTTTTAAGTAGTAATCAGGTTAACCATTATGAAACTCGACTAGCCTCTCAGTACACAACTCATTTTTTTAGAACTAATATTAAGCAGTATCCTTTATCGAGGACCAACCATCTGGAATTCTTTGCCAATTACACTAACCAGCTCTTCTTCCATATTTGTTTTTAAAAACAATCTGAAAATTATCTCACTGGTAGTCGTTCTGTCGCTTAAGTTTTATGTTTTCTGTACACTCTGCAATCTTTAGGCTTCCTTCTCACATTAACTTATATTTTAATTAACACCTTTTGCCTCAACCCAGTGTTTTTGTAGATACACGTTCCATGTTTGAATCTCCTAGATTTAAACAAATTTATCTTTATTGTAAAGCCATTATAGCACGTGTATCACAGATAGACTAAACTTTGTTATGATATTATTTTTTTGGCATTCGGAATAAATATCACGTGACAATGAAGTCACAATAGTTTTAGCTCTAAATCGAATTGCAGCCCTTATCGGCATCTTCTTTAGAAATACTTGACGCTACCTATACTTTGGGTGCTTGTATTCTGTTGTAGGAAGTTTCACAAAAATCGATAAGAGGAATTTCGAGATATCTTGGAATTTCAACAAAAAGGGCATAAATTGTGCATGAACTGGAGACTGGACTAAATGCAGACAAATTTGCTACTTTTTGGATGTTTCCGATCACTCATTTGTCTTCAAGTGTATATGACCCTTTTGTACTCTACAACCAGCTAAACGCAAGTCGACTTGCCTGATTTCCAAAAACAGGAAAACATGTGAATCAGGGTAAAACGTAGTGTTAAGCTCTTTAATTTCAAAAGCTACCTTCATGAAAACAGCGATTAAACCAAAATTCGTCGATAGATTTTCGTTAAGAAGTTTCAGGACTACAATCCATCAGTGTTCTATAAAACCTCCGAATTTCGTTTCCATTGAAATTTTTAAAGTTGTCCCATAATAAAGTTTAGTCTATGTGTAATAGATGTCTTATAATGGCTTTACAATAAAGATAATTTGTTAAGCGATTCAAAGATGGAGGCTGTACCTACAAAAATACTGGGTGGAGCCACCTAAAGCAAAGACGTTTTTGAGCAACGCACGTTGACCGAAAGTGTTGGGTTTTTTTAAGCATTCTTGGGCAAGATTGTCCTCAAAATTTCGGGAAAATCGTCTTTATAAGAATAAGACACCGAGCAATACAACTTGGTAGTGTCAAAGCATATTTAAAGGGAAAAGGGCCTTACTTCCGGTTGACGTGCGTCGCCAGGAGATGGCTCCTGGCGTCGCTCAAAATTAAAAAGACGCTTTAGCTTTAATTCCCATTTACACTACAGAAAAAACCTGGTCCGGACCCATTAAAAAGTGGCCCAGACCAATTTTTTTTAACCGTTTACACGGGTAACAAACAGGTTAGGCTTATGATAGTACACAAGCGCGAAACCACCGTAAAGCACGGCAGGCTCACGTGAAGAAGATGGTACGGAACGACGATGCGTTTACACAGCGCTTTCGAGCAGCGAAAGGGGTCCGGACTCGTTTTTTTTTTTCCGTTTTGGGCCCATAGCCGCCTATGGCCCCAAAACCAGAAAAAAGCGAGTTCGGATCCATTTCATGAAAACATGATACGGAAGCTTTACACAGCAAAAATATCTGGTCCGTACCAACTTTTCTATGGGTTGGGACCCATTTTTTTTTGTAGTGTAAATGGGGCTTTAGCCTGCAGACGTCTCTTAGTTCTGTCCTTGCACAGGATCTTCCTGTCAGTCTCAAACTCAAAAATTTTAATTTTTTTGGAAAACGCTGGATTTTTGTGCGAACGGAAAGAAAACTTGAAGAAATACCATTGTTAGAAAATTTACTCATATCGCCAAACCCAAGCCTCAAAATAAATGTCAATCACTCGGTTGAAAGCGAGAGCGATTGAACTTATCACATATCTGAAAACGAGAATTATCCGGCCACTTCTGACGCAACGAAAGCAGGTTAGAAAAAAAGTAAAATTGGCTCATAATTAAGTTGGAATCACCTTTAGCTCCCTATTTGAACGTTGATCACCTATATGAACCACAAACTGCAAATGAACATTTCTTTGCTTCCTGTTCCAGGGCACGCAATTAACAATCGTTCGTTTTAATCTCGCACGATGAATGGTCCACGGCAAATAATGATAATAATCTTTATAGAGATAACTTTTTCATAAAAGTATGGTTTTTAAAAAGGATTTCATAACTCAAATTCATTCAAAATTACAAATTTAAAACATATTACGCTTAAAAATAGTTACATTCACGGATTGTCTGGGATCGACGTTTATTTTCTGGGTCGGTAGAAATCACTGTAATTCACGTATGTTCAACGGCAAAGCGACCGTTAGCAATAGTGATAAAACACATGGGTGCGTTCCTTTGAGATGATCCGCATCAGGATCAGTGATCCGAGATCACTCGGATCATGGTAGATCAAGGCGGGGTGTGTTCCTTTCGGTGAATCCAAAAACGGATTTTAGATCTAAGAACGGATTTCGCGTTCCTTTCGACAAATCCAAATCCGGACTTTTGATCTGGTGAATCCTTTTTGAAAAAGGATTCATTGGATTTGAAATCCGAAGAATCCAAATCCAGATTAACGGATTAGTGATCTACGCTGTTCCATTCACAGTGGATCCGAAATTAGTCAGATGATCCAGCGGTATTTCCAGTCGAAGTATTCCCATAGAGGCCGTAGAGGTTCCTCGTTGCTGTCATTTGCCGCAAAACATCTGAAAACACTAGAAGATTGTTCCTGGTACATTAAAATATCCATATACTAACCATTTGTCTCTAAAGATGGCATGCTTGTATCTGAAATAAGTAAAAGCAACAAATGGACTGCTATCTAACTACAAACTCGCCTGTAGACGCGACAGGCACTCGATCGTGTTACATAAAAAAATCCGAGCTATGGAACTGGATCAAACTGGCCGACATTCTTTAGATAATTTTCCAATTTAATGCGCTTCTTTCTTTGTATGTTTTATATGTTCCATTGTCGCTATTCGAGCTGCCGACCACTAAATTCTGCACGGTATAATCGCATAATTTGTCAAAGAGTAAAAAACACGTCATTTTTTGAGAGGCTGTCGTGCATATTGCGCGCTTTGGCGAAGGGTTACCAAGGTTACAAATCCAATTTCGGATTTCACGTTCCTTTCGACCGCGAAATCTGGCAAATCTAGGATCAAAAATCCGTTTTTGGATTCGCCGAAAGGAACAAATGAACCGATGAATCCATTCTGGACAAGGATTCATTGGTTCATTTGATCTACCATGATCCGAGTGATCTGGGATCGCTGATTCTGATCCGGATCATTCCAAAGGAACGCACCCATGGAGTCCAGCATTTCCAGTCTTCAATGATCTCGCCGAAGCACATTAGGAAGTATAT